TGATACGAGTAACATTCCCGGGCGTCATCACCAAAAGGTGGTCTCTTAGCCGAAGATTATTTCGATTTTTCATGGGAGTATCTGCGGCCGCGGTAGCTCAGTAGCTACCATTGCGTACTGTCATTCGGAAGGCTCGGGTTTAAATCCCCGTGCAACCAACATCCAAATGTTATGGAGAATTAATTTAAATAAAAAATTAAGTGAAATTTTCTAATTGCGGTCGTCCCTCAGCAGAGAATGTCCGCCACTCCGAGCGTATTTCGGACATGAAATAAAGCTCCTCGCAAAATAACATCAGCCCGCGGCTTAGTATAAACTGTAGGTCGATCCAATTTTTTTTTTTTTTTTTTTTTTGGAAAACATCAAAACGCAAAAACCCAAAATTGGAGGAGAAGCTCGGCCGAAAATCGCCTCAGCGGTCTCATATCCTACGCACAACAGCAGCGGATATTTTTTGGGCATCCAGAGGACAGGAAGTCGTGAGCTGCCTGATCCAAATGGAAAAGAATCGTTTCCAGCCACTCTCAAGTGAATGACATTCAGAAACTTTCCTCACTTGAGTGAACTTCTACACTAACCAAACAAAAAGTTTCGTGTTGTAGTAAACACCACAACAACTTCCACAACCGACCCATATCCGGTGATAATTATCAATATACACAATGTGAATTTTATACGAACAACGGACGGATGAAAGCTATCTAGCTTTGAATGTTTTTCGATTGTCTACCTGGTTTGATACATACATACATATGTATGTAGATATGTAACTGCTCAATGGCTTCAGTAAAAATGTAAAACAAATTTGAAGAAACTGCCTCGGTTACAGATATTGTAAGGCCTGTGAATCATCGTTTTGCTCGTTCCACGTCAAATATCGCTAATATAGGGAAAAGTGTAGCCGAAGACGCGAATGTGTATATCTCTCGACGTTCTCAAGAGCTGGGACTTTATTACTGCCCATTATGGCATAACTTATACTTGGACTTACACCAATATCCATATGAAGTCGAGCTCATACAATAGCTGAAGCCTGTGGAACATTTGCAAAGCCTTTTATGCTAGAGAAATTTTCTGCGCGGACGGGAAATCTCTCGTCTTGGCGATATCAATTGGCCACCCAGATCGTACGATTCTTTTGTTGGGCTAAAGAACGTGTCTATGTGGATCTTGAGCACTTGAAAACCAACATTACATTACTCATGTTATGGCTGGAAGACCGCCCGATATGTGCCAAAAAGTGGTCGAAAGCGAAGCGGTCTTTTGAATCATGCAGTGCCACATTTAATGCCAAGGTTTATAATAAAACAGAAATTTCATCAAAAAAAAATATTTTCAATGCATTTATTTACGTTCTTTTTTTTCGAAAACGCAAAATGAGTAACCCTGTGTAAGCAACAGTTATCAAATTCATATGTTTATACTTGCATTGATACTTAGGTCTCCTTGAGGTTTTAATTTCAAATAGACGAAAAGCAAAACAAAAAAGTACACATACGTATATATGTATGTATGTATGTGTATATGTAATAGGAAATAAATCAGCTGGTGATATCAAGCGCCGAATTGCAATGGCTGCAGTCAAATGGCACATTTGTAGTATAATTTGAGTCACAAGTCTCGTCCACGTGATAGCTGGAATTTCGCAACCAACCCAAGCCAAACCCAAGTCAAACCAAAACCAAAACCAAAACAATTACAACGTTTGGAGTGAGGAAGCAAAAGTCAATAGGGAATATTCACCATTTACTGGTGAGCACCATGAATGTTTGCACATGCATACACACATACGTACAGATGTATTTACATCAAAAGAAAAGCCAATTAATTGCACTTAAAGCGCGAAGAATTCTAAAAATAAACCCAACAAACAATAATTAATATAAAAATACTAGGGCATACATACATACATACATACGTTAAATGAAGGTGCATTCGATTATCTATATACATATGTTCATATATGAATATACGTAAATATGTATGTATGTATGTTTAGAAGCGGTCAAATTCATACACGATGGCAGAACAAATATAGCGATCGACATTAAATATGCACAAAAACGTTTCACAATCGATCGCCGCATACACATACATACATATGTATGTATGTAGATACCTACGTCCACCAAGGGTGACTAACAAGCAGCGGTGCCGCATGGATGGCATAGCATTCGGGAAGCATCCGGTGATTAAACGTGACACAAACAACACACAGTTGTTGCCCAACGGTGCTAAGCAACGTGAGTGAGTGCGCGAGATTCAAAACCTTGAGCTTGAATAAATCAATCTGGATGAAATTGAAAAAAAAAAAAAATATGTAAATCGCAAAGATCACTATCACTGGGAACGGCCGCGTAACAGTACATAGCACGAATAATGATTGTTTGAAACTTTTTGTTTGGCGTCCAGCCTTTAAATGGAGTCCAAAGGTAATGTGCAGAAAGAGAAGCCCGGGTAGACCACGAAAAATTCCGGTGAATGGTGGAGCAAGACCTCATTCATATGGAGGGCCTTGCAGTAGTTTAAATTTTTCCGAAGATTTTCAATTGTGCGGCTCTCCACACCCATAGTGGTGACTACACTTACGTGTTTCAAGCCGTTAATCGTCTGTGAGTGGTTTACCTTGCAGTTATCCTAGAAAAAATAGTCCGTCGGAGTCAAATCGCAGCTGCGAGGCGACCAGTTGACAACGCCGTTTCGGCTAATTATGCCATTTTTGGACACAATGCGTGGACGTGTTGATTATCGTCCTGGTCCTTATTTTCAATATTTCGAAACAGATAATTTCGGATTATGACACGGTAACTATTGGCATTGACGGTAACGGCAGGTGCTTACGCGATTTTGAAGAAAACCGCACCAGCCGTGCCATAGAGTCGCATACCGCAACGAATAGCCGCATGTTAAGGATGGATGCATTGACTTTTCTTTGCTTATATGTGGATTTTCTGAGAACCAAGTTTTGTTTGTTAACTTAACCGTTAAAAATGAACTTCATCGCAAAAGATCATTTTGCGTTAGGCATTTTCTCTTCTACCAAGCGTTCTTCAGCCCATTGGGGAATTCGTCATCGCATCGGATGGGGATTAGAGTGCAGTTATTGGACCAAAAGGATTTTATAAGCTTTCATACCGAGATCTTGACAAATAAGTGCGCGAAACGTTTAATGCCTACAAACTGTGTGGAGTTGATGTCGATAGGAGAAACTCGCTGCAGAAATTGATTCGCAAACTGCCTGGAAGATGAGTTATTTTTCCCTGGACCAAGGTCAAAAACTAACTAATTGGGTTATATTTTTTGAATATAGACATCGGCATTCTGTAAACTTTTTCGTAATCCCCAAATCTTTGACTTAATATTTAAAATATAAAGAATATAATTGAAGTTGCCGAAGTACAAATATAGAATATATCCGGGCCCCTTTTCCAAAGTGTGGTGTGCGTCTTGATGGTACTCTAACAAATGGAGACGCCTCCGAAAGGCTGATGGTTTTTTATGAGGAGCCCTAAATTAATTTTCTATAATTTTGGATGTTATTGGAACCAGGACTCGAAACCGGACCTACGGTAGTGTAGTACGTAATGCTAACCACTCGGCTATCGCAGCCGTGGATGAAAACGACATCTTCGCCATTACTCTCCCTCTAGATAAGCGGTTTATGGTAAAAAAAAATATATACGTGTATACACTTGTATCAAATGTGACCTGTAAGAATTTGTATTTCCATAAATGTGTAAGGAACGCCAATCATATTCACTGATTTTAAAAGAGATTTTAAATTTTGACTGCAGTCACGTTGTTCACTTTCCTAATCGTGACTCGCACCCTAGACAAATTTTGGATCACCTAATTCGTCATACGAAATTTTGAGAGTGAATTACTCTAAAAGTATATGCAGCTAGAACTCCACACCAGGCTTTTCATGCTGCACGTAGCCTATGACCTCAAGTCTGGACAGCCCTTAACGCCAAGGCAAGTTCACACACGGTAATAGCAATAAAAAGAGAAAATAAAATGAATAAAATTACCTCGTAAAACCCATTAGCCGTTCGGCGGTGACTTGCTAGATAATCTCAGCCGAAAATCGGGGTTGCAAACTTGCTTGCTGTAATTCGCCTTTAAGGATTTTCAGACACCATCCAAAATTTTAAATTTCGGCGAATGGCCACACCGAAACTATAGTTTCTAGGAATTATTGTTATTTTTAGAGATATACGTGTATACAGATTGTTTTGGACAATAAATTAAAAAATTCTGAAGTGGAGGAAAAAATGAAATAAAATAACAATTTCCATTCATTTAATTAATTAATCAGCTTAATTAATGGCAAAACTCAAAGTAAAGAGATGCCAGTTGATGGCAGGGATAGGTTTCAGGAAATTTTTCAAGTAATAAATTAGTTTAGTTTGAAGTCTGTGGTTTTTTTACGAAATGTTCGGGATTGGTAGTAGGAAGTCTACAACTACCAAAAATATAAATTATATAAAATATCGCGCGCAAATATATAGTTTAAAAGTTATAGACATTTAAAGTTAAACTTTCTGTATGCAGAGAGACTGCTTCTGTTTTTCTTATAAACACACTAACAACTCATGGCTAGGCAGGCGTTATCATTGCTCAAGCATTCAAAAATGCGCCTGGACACACCAGTCGCAAAGATAATTACGATACGAAACTTTATCAGAGAGCGCCAAGAAATGGGAATTTTATATAAAATTTAGAAACCTCTTAGGTATTGTAGTTTAGAGCAGTTCGAGGCGAATTCAGATAATACGAAGTTGGTAACGCAGCTGTTTTTTCTTATGCGGGTGCTGGGCATTCAGTAGGGAATATAAACAAGACGATAGTTGATCTTTATTGTATTCACAAGATAATTACTTCAGCTTCAATTAAGTACTTTATTAAAATATAAGTTTTCGTTTTGTCGTTGGTTTTCTTCTTTTTCTCTGTTTATCCCATCGTGGCCACTTGAAGTAAAATCGTTTATTTTGATATTGAAAATTGAATTCTCCAATTCGCCATTATGTTTTCAAAGTAAGTGGCAACGTTGAATTCTTTCAAAAAATGGCGAAGTAACGGATCGCCTTAAAGGCCAAACACAAGCGTCAAGAAAGGATTTGTGTATTTCTATTATAAAAGAAAATAATATAAAATTGTATAGAATTGTCGAAATGTAAGTGCGGTGGTTTGAGAAAGATATGCTTTCTTTGTTGAATTGGTGAATAGCTGCAATCTCTGTATTTGTAATTTAGATATTTGAAACAAAAAACAAAAATTTCGGTATTAAGAAACTTTCCATATAGGATGGATTGTAAGAGTGTTGCTTAAATAAATATGTTGAAGACAACGCCTTATGTGTGAACTAAAATTTAGTATATTCGCCAAGAAACTAAATCCAAAGAAAGATAATCAGTAAATTTTGTGTCTTCTAAGCAATTCACATTTTTTTTTTTAGTAAACATAGGTTAATCCTTTTAATTTTTTTTTATGATAAGTGCACGATTTACATGTTTATTTTTACTTCAATACCTATCGAAACTAACGTAACCCACTTTACATTCGATAAGGTCTGCTGATCGCTTTAATTTAAGCGAATTCTCGGAATATCTTGACGACACTGATGGCCACCGTTTGGCGCAGTTTTTGCAGAAAAAAAGCGGAACAGTGCGTGCGGGCGGCCGGCGCATATTTGATAGCGAACCTGAAAGATTTAGTTTGAATGTACAACTAAAGCGTCTGAGCTCCCCTCCACTACTGCCAACGAAAGATGTAGGAAATCAGGAAGCCTGCAATGAGAGAACTAGTGAATGCAATCTTTTACAATTAGAAGTTAAGCAAGAAGCAGTTGATTTGCTTGAGTCTGGTGCTGCCATTGCTGAAACATGCCAGGGCCCGCAGAATGGGGAGGCCCTTTTCGAAGAGCCGATTGTTTTGGTATCGTTCGAGTCTAGACTGGAAAATACAAATATAACAACTAATAGGCAAACTCAATTGTCACCCACAATGCGGCCTGTACTTGAACATATATCGGAAATACATCCTAAGACTCCTCCTAATGTGCAAAATGTTCCTGAAAGTAATCAACCGGAAGAAACGGCACCAAAACCAATTTGTCATGAACCTAATTCTCCGCAACGATTACAAGACAATGATGACGAAAATAGAATGCGTAATAGCCCTTTTTCACCTTCGTTTCTGCAATCTTCTCCTGGTCATTCCTTAAGGCCTTTATCGCCGAAATCAAATGTGTTACGCAGTGGTGGTGTGAGAAGTGCAGATAAGTTAAGACGGCAAGTGCTTAAACGTCTATCGAATATAGGTAATAGTGGTAGACGAACTCTACTAAAAGAATTCGAAAGTACCATTGGTTCCTCTGATTTTGTAAGTATTTTTTATATGCATATGATTTTACACTACTTTTATCTACCAATACCCTTTTTCTAGTCACCAAATATATGCAGCACTCCAATGCATCAAATGCCGAGAGAAAATCCAAAAACCCCACCACCTTTAGAAAATTCACCTGCATCGTCTAGGACAAAAGAAAATTCAGAAAAAATTCCTCACCCTGAGTTAGCACAAGGCGCAGAAAATAACAATATAGATCAACCTTTGCTACGAAATATGGTTGAAACACTAGAAGAAACACTTCAAAAATTGAAATATTTTAATAATGCGCCAGAGAAGGTTAGTGCAGTTTCAGAGTCTATTCAAAGTGCCAATGGATTGCCAAATACTCAAGACCTTCTGCTGCAAGCACGTGCTGAAACGACAACTACAAATGAAATAACTCGAAGTAATGTGCCTGCAACGCAGGATTTGCTGCAAGAAGTGCAAAATGTACTTCAGGACTTCAAGAAATCACATCTACAAGTGCCTAAAATCGTCATACCAGTGAATCAAACTATTAACAATGCACCACCACCAACAACAAAAGAAATTAATTGTAACGAATCTATAGCGGGGAAAAATAATTCGAAAATTGACCAACAGACAGAAACCGATCGGACAATAACGGCTGCAATTGTACAGGCTCGATCACATGCAACTACCGATAGCATTGCAGAAAATGTTAAGAACTGTAGAAGCTCCCATGATTTCGTAAATCATGCTACATTTACACGCACGAACACCCCAAATCAAATTCCTCCAATAGAATCAACAAGAGATCGAACTTTAAGAAGTGGACATAGTCTCTCTCAAAAGGCACAACTAACTTTTTCTAAACATAATAGCAAACATACAGAGAAATCGTCTAATCAAACAATAAGAGATGTGTTTCCAAGCCCTAAGGGAATAACACGAAAATCAGAATCTATGTACGCAAAAGAAACGAGTGATATTCACAATTCATTAAAAGGTGTTAGTAAACAAAATATTTCTAGAACCAATCGTTTAACTGAAAATTTCGAAGTGCACGAAGACAAACCAACTTCTAGCGCTCGTTCAAAAATATCTTTGAATAAAACTCAGAAATCAAATGTAAGTAAAAACAGTATTGCACATATTTCGAAGCCATCCAATCTAAATGAAGAAAATGTGCAAGCTGAACGGGCCGCAGCAACTCGCAACGAGTCCAGAGCCACAGTAGCAAATAACTTCAATAATTCGCTTGTTACTGAGGATGAAGATGAACAATATGAAGCAATTAATAAAAAACAAATCTTACGTAAAAGTGGCCCACTTAATCTTGCCACCGATAAAGAAAAGCAAACTAAACGTAGTCGGAGAACAATCAAACGTACAACAAGAGATCGCCGGCCCACAACTGCTACAATATCTATAATTACGAGCGATACTGAAGCAGAATCAGGCCCTCCACCGGCACATCCACTCAACTTACAACGCATACAACGAGTTGACAACAAGCGAGTACAACAATCAAAACGTCCATTGAATAAACCACCAAGTACGCCGAAAAATGGAGAACTATTTGCCGATGAGCTTAAAATGCACTTAGCACGTCTAACAAATCATGAAATACTCGATTTACGTAAGCGCAACTCGATGGGACTATTGAGCGCAACTAGCCTAAGGAAGTCATTAGCTGACACAAAATTAAATGTGAAAGATCAGTTACTCATTGAGGACGAAATTCAATTGGAAATTTTGAGACGCGAATTATTAGATTCAGCAGAAGGCTTACACGATGATGTGAATGAGGTAATGGAAAATGATATGATATGCAATGATTTACCAGCAGCACCTGATGGATTTAAAGATGGTGCTACCATAACTACTATTGGCACGAATGTGCACCCAACGCTAAACGATTTGAAATGCGGAGTATTTCACAAATCCTCATTGATCGATGATAATAGCATTCAACATGTATCTTTTCGCACCCCTATGGAAAATATTAACTCTACACAAGTCCGAAAATCGCGAAGAAGCAAAAAGGTGGAGCAGGTGGTAAGTGAATATGTTTATAATATGTTTTTCTAAAATTTATTCTTACAAAATTTTTAGTGCCCAAAGTTCTGAGTAGTTCTAATACAGGCCTACTTTTTAAAGAAGATAATTTTTTGTCTCGAAATTAAATTGTTGGATTTTATATAGAATTAAATCGTTATTATTTTTTAATATTTTTTTTATTTTGTTTTTATTTTTAATTTTATTTTTTTATTATTTTTTATTTAATTTTGTTATTATTTTTTATTTTATTTTTTTATTATTTTATTTTTTTATTATTTTTTATTTTATTGTTTTATTATTTTTTATTTTATTTTTTTTATTGCTTTTGTATTTTTTTATAATTTTTATTTTTTTGTTTTATTTTTTTTTTATTATTTTCTATTATATTTAATCACTTTTTATTTTTTAATTATTTTTTAACTTTTTTTTTATAATTTTTAATTTTTTTATTATTTGATAATTTTTTTATTATGCTATTATTTTTTTTTAATTTTTTTTATTATTTTTTTTTTTATTATCTTATTTTTTATTATTTTATTTTTTTTATTTTATTTTTGTATTTTTTTAATTTTTTTTATTTTTTCTTTTAATTTTTATTATTATTTGGTTTTCATTTTTTTTGTTATTTTATTATTTTTTTATTATTTTATTATTTTTTTATTATTTTTTTATTATTTTATTATTTTTTTATTATTTCATTATTATATTTTTTTATTATTATTTTATTATTTTTTTTATTATTTTTTTATTATTTTTTTATTATTTTTATTATTATTCTATTATTATTTTTTTATTATTATTGTTTTTTTTATTATATTTTTTTTATTTTTTATTATTATTTGTTTTTTATTTTTTATTATTATTAGGTTTTTTTATTTTTTATTATTATTTGGTTTTTTTATTTTTTTTTTGTTATTTTAGTTATTTTATTATTATTTCATTATTATTTGTTTTATTATTTTTATAATTAATTTTTTTTATTATTTTTATAATTAAATTTTTTATTATTTTTATAATTAATTTTTTTTATTATTTTTATTATTAATTTTTTTTTGTTATTTTATTTTATTATTATTATTTTTTTTTATTATTTTATTATTATTTTTTTTATTATTTTATTATTATTTTATTATTATTATTTTTTTATTATTTTATTATTACTATTTTTTTATTATTTTATTATTATTATTTTTTTATTATTTTATTATTATTATTTTTTTATTATTTTATTATTTTTTTTTTTATAATTTTATTACAATTTTTTTTTATTATTTTATTATTATTGTTTATTTTTTTTTTATATAAGTCCATCGATTTATTCATATATTTTTGTATGCATTTCAGCCCGAAGTAACAAGAAAGTATTTGGAATTACATAAAAGTTTTAAGAAACGGCGAAAGTCAAAATCCACAAAAAGATCCTTATATTCCCAAGGATTCTCTGACGGGGAAGATGAGAGTGAAATTGAGCCAATACCACCACCACCAATTATCTCACCTTTGAAAGATTGGAATATAGCACCACCACCATCGCCGTTGATATCATATTCAACTTTACGTGATGAGGTTTTGCCGTCACCGCTACTACCAATATCGCCACCAGCACCATTTATTGATGATTATCCCCGTACACCGCCTCGTAATGTATCCGCATCAACTAGTAAAAACACAACTGTAACACCAGCTGCTTGCCAAACGGATGATAGTGCTGTCTTCAAGAAACCAACTATGCCAGCACCGCGCGCTGCTAGTAAAAGGAAAAGTAGTACGAAAGCTAATCACCCGCCTGTAACAACGGCGGTTGCTGACGATGCCAGTGAAAGCCAAAGCTTGGACGACACGAATAGTAAGTAAAAAAGTGTACATACATACATGTGAACATAAGAATGGATTCCATTTCATGGATTTCCTTATATTTTACAGGTTTGCGTAGATCGAAGCGCGGACAAGTGCCAAGGAAATTAAGTTTTCTGTGTGGCACTCAGAGAAAGATATCACTCTTTGAATCATTGATAAACGGTGTGAAACACACAAAAACATTCCACACACGAACTAAAAAACGAACAGCAAAAAAACTTAGCCGAAACAGCAATATCCCTGTGCCGGTGGCATCCAGCAGCGTTACGGGTGTTGAAAGAAAGTCCAAAGCCACGACGCCAGCTCATAGTTACCTGGGCGACACAAACACAACATCGGGCACTATATGCTCCGTACGGACTGCCTATAGCAGCCGCCTGGGTGCAATAGAAGAGACCGAAACAGAGTCTGAAGGCTACGCTGGCGATATGGACAATGCAGTGAACTTGCCACAAATGCCAAATGATACTGACACAACAACTAGAGTTACAAAAAGTGCGCAGCCCAAACGTAGGCAAGGAAGACCTAGGAAAAATACACAAGTCACAACAAAACGTACACAGAAAGAAAAAGAAAAACAGGCGATAGCAGAAGTACAAGAAAATGCAACGGCTGAACCTCTGGACCAGCAGTACAATGAACTAACATCAAATCGCACTGGGCAACTAGAATGCAGTAGAATTAATTTACCACCTCCACCGTCTCGAGAAAAACTGAATGCAATATTCGATGAGTTGAAAAATGCAGCCAACGATTCGAGTGATAGTACAACGTCGGCAGCAACCTCCAATACTGATGCAGCTTCAACATCATCAAATGCAACGACCAACAGTGGCACACGTAAATTACGAGTGCGTTTGCAGCGTGTTAAAGGGACTGCGGCGGCAGTCAGCTCGGCGGCAACGTCATCTACTTCCATGTGCTCATCGGCCTCCACAACAACGCAAACGGAATCTGGCAGTCGAAATGAATTGCTAACGTGGCTTAAGAATGTCACACATTTGCAAAGTGCCACCAATAACGATCAAGTCTTTAAGGATATGCGACCTTGTAAGTTAACATGTGTTTTACGGCATGATTAGTTGAATGGCATATTTCAAATATATATTACCTTTGCGCTTTCAGCTGCTGCTGGTAAACTGCACTTTACAGATTTAGAGGGTATCGAGTATGCTTTTTACGATACCAAAGAAAAATGTAGCCTGGGCTATTTGCGCTTTAAACCACTACAGTGCAAACCATCCAAGCGTGCTAAGAAGTATCACTTGGTGAGTATTTAAAGAAAATAAAACTACGCGTGCGAATGGAATTCTTTAATATTGCAATTGATTGCTGGTTCTTTAGTATCATTTAATGTTTATATATATTCTAAAATGTAGTAAATTTTTGTTTAATTTCCTTAACAGCACTTTGTCGTACTAGCGGGCACATTTGAAATCGGTACCGAGAATGAGATAGGGACTTTCAATGTTGGTGATATGGTAGCCATAAATATAGGTAAGCGCAATACATAACATAAAAAATGGTAACGCTATATATAATATATAATTTTTTTTTCAGGTTGTCGATATAAAATTACCAATCTAGATAATGACGTAGGCATAGTAATGGTATTTAAGAAGTAATGCCGCACACAATCAATTCTGAAATTGATCTTATGCACACAAGAAAGTTAAGCGAATATATTCTTATATACATATATAATCTTTGTTAAAATTGTCGAATCTTCATTAAATTGGTGGCGTTGTAATGAAAAAAAAAAAAAAAAATAATAATATTGTTATAACGCATTCCATGTGAGTTATCCAATTTATAAATGTTTGGAAAAAATATAGTTTCATATAATTGTTATTTTTTTTTTTTTGTTTTTGCAAATGACTCGTCCTTTGAAAATCATATTACATATAATTTAGAGTAGAGTAGAGTGTTAAGTGTTACTATGTACATAAAATCAGTGGTAAAGTCCAGTAGTAGCTCAGTTTTCTTCTCTTTCGATGCAAATATAACTGTTCAATCACAAAGCCTTGCGCTTGCTGCCATGGGTTGCATCTAAATTAAAAAGAAACAAAGGACTTTACTCCTACTATATATATACATATGTATTCGTTTTCTCACATACGTACATATATTATATTAAGTATAATTAAGAAAACATATATTTAAAGGAAATTTAATATTTTCTTTTTCATACATACATACATATACTAAAAAAATATAAGTAAACGAAAATTGTACTTTCTTGATTCTTCTTGAAATTGGAATGAATAAAGCGGTATATTTATTAATTTTTTGTTGAAAAGTTGTTTTTGATGTGTGAAATGTAGAAATTGAAAATGTACGCCAGTCCGTTATTCACAGTTTGCTTCCCAAGTTAAGTCCTTCTCTACCTGGTCTTTCCAACGAAGCTAAGATCTTTATCTTTCTTTGGACATACCGGCTGATACAGTATATATCCGCACAACACGACCTAACCAGTGTTCCTAAAGGTTGTTACCGCAGGGAGCACCCCAATGGGCAACTAATAGAAGCTGAGCCTCCACCTAGGCACATCAGAACCGCTACAACAACAACTACAACAACACATCAGAAAGGGAACACCCCAATGGGCAACTAATAGAAGCTGAGCCTCCACCGAGGCATATCAGAAAGGGAGTACTAGATTTAAAGGACACAATCCAGCAACATGGGCAACAGCCGCTGGACAAGACAGCGTACAGATAAGCACTGAAAGTTATTCAGCAGGAATCAGTCAACACCTTCAAAGACTCCCTTCCAGTGAATGATGTGCTCGGAGTAAGATCATCAGCCATAGCAGATAACAAGCTCGAGCTGCTTCAAGAGACCCACGTGACCTTGGCACGACTTAGGACTGGATACTGTAGCAGGTTAAACTCCTACTTATCCAACGTATGGTCTGCATGTGAAGAGTCTCCGCACGACACTAACCACCTGTTTATATGTTCCTTTAAACAACGTCATCTAATCCCCCTTTCTCTTTGGTCCAATCACGACCTTGCTTACACTTAAATATGGTACTTAAAACATTTGCAGTTGATATTTTTATCGGAGTTTTTTTGTACCAATTCATTGTATATTGACTTCCGAAACACAAGATTCTACACTTGTAAATACACAAATAACAGTTTTTCATTACAGTACATTTGTTTGGTCGTCGGTTTGACTTTTATTGAAAGTAATATTTGAAATTATAAACATTTTCAAAACCAGCAATTGCCGGCATGCATTTTACTAATTGAAGCTATTTAACATTTTCTTCTATGCCTTACTCACATAATACAATGGGAATTAAAATTATTTAGCTACTAATATACATATGTACTCGTATTTATTGTTATAATTACAATTTGAAAGTATTTTTCTTTTTTTTTTTATAAATATTGCTTTTGGCTCTGCTGTTAATTGTGTACGGGAGAGCGGGTAAATGCATTTCTTTACTCGGAAATGTGTGCCTTACGATATGCCTTCAATATACTACTATGTATAGTACTTTCTTCCTTTGAACAGTGACTGGTGAGGATGCACTAATGTATGGTGTGAACAGCAGTAATGGCACAATTTCTTAGGACAAAATTAATTAAATGACCGTTAATACTTAATCAGCAAGATTGTGAGCGAAACCAACCATTATTTATGTCTACAAACCTTATCCCACCAAATGAAAATGTTTCATTACTCTAACAACCTTTCACCTTACGTTATCAAATCTAATTACGTAAACGATTAAAAATGCATAAACGATTTTAGCATTTCTTTCTTTTTTTTTGAATTGCGAGTCCCGTTAAAATAAAGTTAATTCGCATTCATACAAAACTTCCATTTTCGCCCATTATGATATACAACTTTTTGGATCGTACACTTTAAATTGTCCTAATATACATGTAATGAAGATTACATGTATATATCTCTGTACATTTGTACATTCGTAGATGAAGCTTTGTGTTTTTTTTTTAAGTTAGATTGCATTTGTTTTTTTTTTTTAATTAAGTTTTGACTTAGTATTATTGGAATTCGACTGCGTTACTTGCGTCTGTGCTTTTGTCAGTTTGCAAACTGTATCGTACATCGCAGGAAAATATTGTATGAAGAAGTACACAGATGCCAGATATGCACATATGATTATTGTTAGGAAGAGATCAAATACGGCAGGTTTGACATGATATACATTTAGACGCGCCTCTTGGCCATCGTACAACATAAAGTCTGGATCGCGTGTGTCGGGTTTATCATACATGATTTTCACATTTTTTAGATACTTTTCAAATGCATTTTTCAGGTCGTTATTGTGTAGCGCAGATTTCAATTGCATATAGAATTTGATCATTTTATGGTGAATTTGCTGCAAAAAACATAAAAAAAAATTAATAAACTAATCATATAACAAATTTTACATTAAAACAAACAAAACTCTTTGTACTGCACATACCAGTTTGTCAGCGAAAATTTCACTTGGCTCCTGAATGCCATATATGTAATGTGCAAGCGATTCAGCTATAATTTTGGCATGTAATCGTGTTTGTTCAATTATTCGCTCCTCCGAATCTTTGAATATTGTTGAACGTATTGGTTCTTTAGGTGATTTCAATGCGGATATCGTGAATGCAGGTAAACGTTTCATGCTAAAACGCTCATGTTCCCAAGCAACCAGTTGATCAGCCAAATTGATTTTCTTATGTACACCATCGACGGTGATATTTTCATACTGCGCTGCGTTGATTTTAAGTAACTTAAAGAACTCGTTCATGGCAGTGCCTTCTTTTGGTGGCTTCGATACGTGCATATAAAGACTGCCAGCCTCAGCGTTCAAAGCCTGAGTTATCGTATCTAAACATAGTACGAAATCAACGTTCTATAGACGAAAGTGAGAGAAGAAATTAGTAAAAGAAATGCATTCAAAGGTATCAATTATAAAAAAAATATTAAAACAAAATTTCACAGGATTTCATACGTTTTACAAATTCTAGCAATAAAGTGCGGCATATAGAAATTTCAAGCAATATTGTACTCGTACTCGTTAAAGTATGTAGCAATATTTGTACAAATTTTCAGAAATGTAATATTTTCGGTGTCAAACCTCATCTTTAATATTAGTTGTGGCTTTGGCCGCAATCAAAGTGCCAGTAATGGACACAATGTCCTCCTTTAGTCCACATGTTGGCATTTTACAAATTCATTTTTAATGAATTATATTAAATATATATATACGCAGAACATATACATATGTATTTTTATTACCTGCAATTGAACATTCTCATCAAGCCATTTTTTAACTCCCTGGAAATTCAATAGCGTGCCAGATTCAGTAAGTAGGAAGAGTAGTCGATATTTAGGTACTGCATTTGGTGTATTATGCAATTTGCTGAATACATCTGCGAGTGTCAGCAAAACAGCGGCATCGGCATTCAAAGGATATTCCTTAAATTTTTTTTTAGCAATAATAAAATTATACATAATAAATATTGCAAATTTACTTACATTGTACAAGCCGAACGTATTGAGATGCGCAGCAATAATAATCAAAGGCAATTTACTATTAGCTTCACCGCCATTTTCCACTTGCTTCAAAATCTTACTTGTAGCTGCAAGTTCACCTTGTATAATGGGTATTTTACTATTCTTGCTGGCGGTATGACTGGCACCCGATACAATAACTTGATAACCATTGGCTGATATAGAGGCAAACAATTCAGCAGCAGCCGATGATCGCTGAGCCTTGCCGTCGTTATTAATGCTGCTTGTACGGGTCACATCCGAAATTACTCGTTCCAATTCTTCATTGTAGGGTGAGAAGTATATGGGTATAGAATTCGCTTGTGAGAGCATTGATTGTTCGAGCAAATTAAGGTGCTAAAAATGATTGCTGATATGAAATTCAAAAGTTTAATTATTATAAAAAAGATTACCTCCTTTTCTTCAAATGTCATTGCACTGACATTCTTCGGTAGTAATATAACAAGTCCGCCGGCTTTTTGCCGAATTTCGCGGAACTGCTCAATGCTTATGTCTTGTAATCTGTAAATGAAATTATTTTTAAAAATAACATTTTTTTCAAATGTACATTTATCTTACTTTGCAACAACACAGTGCCTGCCCGTGCTCCATGTGTATAGAGACTTTGCTTCTAGTGATAATGCAGATGCACGGCAACCTAAAGAAATATTCAGAGAAAATCAATTTATTACTCATGTATTGTATGTCTTAAATGTATTAAGCATTCGTACAGCCCACATTCAAAATTGCTAACTCATTTAGTATATATTAGGTTACAATTTAACCGCTCTTTGGATATCAAACTCAGAAAATATATGGAACCATGTTTCTAACCTCAAAAAAGAGTTATTTAATGTATTTTCTCTTCAATTAAATTACATTAGCGCGCAATTGTAAAGCTAAATCAAAATGATAAGTAATCATAAAAATATAAAAGTCAAATTTTATCAATAAATAAACATAGAACATAACCTAATTACAGTAGCCCAAGTTGTGGGCTAGTGACCCATTTATGTACATACCGTCACATACCAATAGCATTTACTCTTAAAAACAACACTCACCATAAGATACACCATTCACATCGAACTGTGACATACGCTGCACTGAGAATTCACTGGAAGCTAGTACAGGATTAGCTGAACAGATAAGTATCACCGGCAGTGCAATGAGGAGATAGGGCAGTCCACCGCGGAAAATATCCGCGAAATTCTCAGCATCCTCAAACATTGTGAGAAGTTTGTGCCAGTAGTCTTGACAGAAGGTACAGTGTATTCACTCGACTAGCGATCACAATTTTTGTGCTAAGGACAGATGTTAATTAAATTTGCTTAATTAAATTTAATTTGTTCTAGTTAAGCACAATTGCACCCGGCTGATTTCTTTTTTTTATCGTTTTCTTGACGCAGGGTTGATTTCGTGAGGTATTATGATACTGCAGGTAGGGCTATTTAAAGGCTTATGCTTTACATTAATAATACTGATAATTTCAAAATTAAGCCACTATACAAAGGCATGTATGTAAATTTAATAAATCTCAAATGGTGAGAGCATGTTTTTTTTAGCAAGAAATGCTTACTTTAAAGAAATTTCATTTGTCATATGAACGACTTTTTATATGAATTTGACAGCATTTTCTAGTTATAACTTGCCAGCTAGGGTTGTCTCTTTCTCATAAATAATTCAAATGTGCTGCCATATCAATGCAGAATTCAAAGTAAATAATAGATAATAGAAATCGCATTCAAATCGTAACGTTATGTGCAAAATATAAATAATATTTGAGGTTTGATGATTTTCCAAAACCTTCGAGTTCGATCACTGGATTGTTTAATAAAATTTCCAAGTTCAATTTTCCCACTTCTTTATCGCAAGCACACCCTGATAACACTCTATAAACATTCAATTTATTCCTTTGTGAACACATATCCACACAAACACACACGCATGTAAACACTCTTTTACCCGTGTTCCTAACACAACTGAGTTTGCTGGTGAATTGACTGCCCCTCTTATCTTATCGCACGCATCTCTAGAAGTTTCTGTTTAAATGTTTTCGAAAACGATTTTGATACACGCATTCGAGAACATACGACCACAAAAGTGTGGCAAAAATGCTAATACGAAATAGATGTTGTTGTTATAGCGGTTGTCTAACTACGTTTAGGACCAGGTGAGACCGGGGGAAGGAAGTTAGATGCGTTAGATGAGGATTTCCGGCGTACTAAACGGAACCGGTCCACCGACTGCTTTGTATGTTACGTGAAACCTCTCTTTATCTAATTGAAATCGAATAATAGTGGAGTCTCTTGACAGTTACAATCTAGAAATCAGCATCAGCATAAATAACAACATCAGCTAAGAAATCCTCCACAGAATCAGTCGTACTAAGAGGAAGTGTACTGTAAGGAAATTCATTGATTCCTACAGTTTATACTAAGCCGTCTCCGAACGGCTGATGGTTTTTTATGAGAAGCCTTTTATTTCATGCCAGAAGTACACTCGGATGGGTGGACATTCCCTGCCGAGGGGCGACCGCAATTAGAAAATATAACTAAAATTTTCATTTAAATTAATTTTCCATAACTTTTGAATGTTGCTGGTACCGGGATATGAACCCGGGCCTTCCGAATGTTAGTACGCAGCGCTAACCACTCGGCTACCGCAGCCGCTATGTTATTTGGAATTGCCTAGAATTTCTGTAGATGTCACTTTTGAGGCTTGAAATCACTAAAAAACCTGGTAGAGACGGTTCGTAAATCTAAAACGTTTTTTGGTCGTCGAGAAGCACCTTGTTGCCCCGCACCGCACTTGCACCGCAGTACAGAAATTTGTTGGAAAAATAAAGCTGTTGGTACAAGTGGTGGTGTGAAGTATAAAACACGTCGGTCAGGATCAACTGAGAATTCGAATGCTGTAGACCAAAGTGTTGAAGGAAACCCAGATTTGTCCATTCCTCGTCATTCTTTGGAATTGGGCATAACACAAACATCATTACACCGTATTTTGCAGAAAGACTTGGTATTTAAGACTTATAAAGTTCAATTAACACAAGAACTCAAGCCGATCGATCATCAACAACGTTGTGTCTTTGCTTAGTGGGTTCTTGAAATGTATGAAAATGATCCGGAACTTCATCGAAAAATCATATTGACTGATGAAATCCATTTCCACCTCGATGGCTAAACAAAACTATCGCATCTGGGGTTCGGATAACCCAAGATTTTTCTGTTGAAAATCCTCTCTATGCTCAACGTGTAACTGTTTAGTGCGGTTTATGGTCCGGCTGAGCCATTGGATGCTATTTTTTTCGAAAATGATTGCGCTATTGAGAGATAATTAATGATTTTTATGCCCGAAATTTGTTGGTATTGATCTGGACAACGTTTACTTTCAACAAGACGGCGCTACGTGCCACACCAGCAACGAAACCATCTAACTTTTAATGGAATTTCCGGTCCGTATTATCTTTCGAAGAGATGATCACAATTGGATAAAGAGTTCTTGTGATTTAACACCTTGCGAGTTCTTCCTCTACAGTCAACTGAAAGGTAGGTCTGCGCGAACAGACCAACGTCGATTCAAGATCTCAAAGATGGAACTCGTGAAGCTATCAAGGGCATACAACACTCATTTTTCGATTTGGTGATAAAAAATGTCAAAAAAAGGAGAGAGTCCTGTAAGCTTAGCAGTAGTGGTCCTTTGGCTGATAAACATCTCTTGGCTTATCTCAAAAAATTCCCTTTTATTTTGGATATCAAAATAAGAACACTTATTGGAAAAGCCTGTCTCTTATTTGTGGCTTGGGTTTTGATGTTCTACCAACAAATTTAGAGACCAACAGATGGATTTCTATGAGGAGCTTTTTTTTACATTCCGATGGGCTTAGTATTCCCCGCCGAGGGGCGAACGTAATTAGAAAAATTTATTATAAATAATTTTGGATGTTCGAGGAACCAACATAATCCACGCCGAGGAGCAAGATTAATTAGAAAAAATTATTTTCTTCTTGTATAATTTTGGATGTTGGTCGAACCAGGACTCGAACACTAGCCATCCGAATCTTAGTACGTAATGCTAACTACCCGACTATTACGACCGGCCACATGAACTATAGATGTGTATGCACGCGTATATGCGCCATTCGTACGGTACATGTATGAGCCTTGTTTGTGGTCGTCATTGGTCAACCCTAATTACAACTTGGGTGTTTAGACAACTTGGGGTTTTAGTCTTTTTGGTCATAAGTATGTTTGTACATAAATATGAATGAAATTTACATATGCTTCCCGGCCAGTTGTTGCTACTGTATTTGCATATTATTGTGGCATAAATTATTACCAGCCTTTCGTTTAGGTGACGAAGGCTGTTGCAGTAATTTTGCTTTCCCATCAGCCGTCGTCCCTTTAGTTTCGATTTGCTATAAACGAAATTTTCCCATCGTGTTGTTGAGCACATTCTGCAGATAAATATGATTTTATTTACATATACATATTATATACATATATAAATACATACATACATACATACACTGCAGGACGAGCCTACTCTGTGCGCTGGTCGAAATGCTGCAAGGGAACTCTCTGTGTACGCTGTCAACAAATGCTGTCAATTTGTTGCGCATTGCATATAAATTGGAATTGGTACATACATACATGCGAGTATATACATATTTTAGTATGTGTGAAGACTAACGGCGGTGTTGGTGTACATTAGAATGCCCTCATGGCTGAGTGGTGATAGCACAACGAACTCGCCACTTTCAAATATGCTAAAATATATATAAATATGTAAATATGTAAATATGTATGTGTTACTTTTTTTTAGGTTATGCGTGTGTCTAGTTTCTCCCCTCCCCCCTTAAGTTGATGCGGATACTGACAGTTGCCTCGATTACTGTTTATCTTATTTTGACAGGAAAAATATTAGGGATTTAATGGCTCTGGTCAAATTGGTTTAAGAACGATTTTATTATGATATTTTTGATTATTTTTTGGGAGAATGAGATTTTGGTGATTTTAACGCCAGTGTAGGGAAATGAGTTCTCGGAAAGTCCACCTACAATACGGACTAAATGAGTTGAGGCTGATCGACTTCGCCACACGGTTCAGAACATGATTGTTTGTAGCACTAGGTAGTGTAGGCCCCTGCATAAGAAAACTCATCAAGCTACTTGCCTGCCTCTGGGTCGGAAAAGCTACAATCGCGTTCATGTAGTGATAAACTGATGGAATGTGTCATCTGTGTCCTTCACTCAGACTATTATTTTGTAGCAGCGAAGTGGCGTCCGCTCTTCTAGAGCTGCAGCAGTAAAGAACGTCCACAAGCAAACACAAAGATGCCGAAAAACTCCAGTCCCGACAAAAAATAAAACTCTACTCGACCTATTGTTCTGTTTTCTCAAAGTACTCATCTCTTCAGAGTAAGGTTGCAAACGAAAATATTGTTTTTCGACAAGGTCAAGAAAATAAGCTTGTACGATAAGGAATGCCTCGTCGAAGTGAAGAGAAAAATACTGCACGGTATTTGGAAGAGATACAGAGAGTTGAATCTCGAAAATTCGATTAAAACATACGCGGACTTACAGAAGGTTTCAAGAGCGGAGCATACTCATGCATGATCTTCTTGGATCTTCTGGTGTCTAGACTGTATTGAGTTTTTGGAAGATCTCTTCAAGCTGCTAGGAAAAAAAAGCGGCGAAAATTGAACTCTTCAGAGATGGCTGCGAAGAGCCGACAAGGCACAGGCATCAGCTCCTTTGCTGTTGTACTCAGGTGAAATCTTGAAAGAAAAATCTTGAAAAAACGATCGACACACACCACCTCTTCGTCGATTTTAAAACTGTCTTCGATAAGCTCGAGCCCGGAGAAGAGCTACCTTTACACAATATGTATGAATATTACATTTTACGGGTATGTAAATTGACGCTGAGCAATGGCAAATACTCCGATGGGATCGCGAAGGATCTCTGCGTGTAGCTTCTGTAACATCATCAAGAACAGGTCAGAGCAAACTTTATGGACTTCCGTTCCACGTGGTACATCCAGTTGAACCTCCATACAGCTCGTGAATGTTGGCTTGTGGGTGCGTTTTAATTGTCTTAGCTCCCAAATCAGCAGGGTGTCGACGCTACTGACAGTCAGAGTTAAAGTTGTAGATAATTCCGTTCACCTTGGAACCGGTATCAACACTAAGAGCACTAACAACAATGTTAGCCTTAAAATCCAACCCGGTGTCACTCCTTCGAAAAGTTTTCTTTTATTCGCCAAGAGAGGACTTTACTTATCATATGCCTACTCAGTCCAAATTAGTCTCCCGTTCTGCTATATACTGCAGGAGTAAGGAGGTCCTCTACGTAAGGGTAATGACGAAGGAGATATACGATGGCGTTGACATAGACATAGTTCAGCGAATAAAGAGACAGCAACTCTGCTGGCTAAGTCATTTCAGCCGTCTGAGCGACGCCAGCTGTCAAAGTGTTTGACTCAGTAATCATCGGAGTAAGTAAAATCTCTTCTTCGTTAAAAGGATGAGGTGAAGAAGGACCTGGCTTCATTTTGTGACTCCAA